AAATATATTTATTTAATTGCAAGTTAATATGTAAAATTTTGTGTAATTACATTTTAACTCAAATGTATTAAGTTGGTGTATCATGCTTAATAAGATGACCAATACTAATAAATTAACTTTAGCTATACTATTATTAGTTAAGTTTTCAAATAGTGATAATGATAATTCTACATTACTTGAAATAGCAGAGTTTCTAATTAAATCTGATAATGAATCTAACAATAAATTTAATAATAAAAATAAAAGCAATAACTATAAAAAAAATACTAATTTTGAATATAATATTGATATATCTTATAAAGAAAAAAATATTTAGAGTAATTATAATACTGATTATGAAGATGCTGAATCTAAAGATTTCATTAGTAACAATAATAAAAATGTGGTTAATAATTCTATTTAAGAGCTTTTTATTTATATTTTTGTAAATAGTTTTTGGACTTGTGCTTCTTTTATTAAAAAACTTTATTATTCTGCAAAAATTTATTCTAATATTTGCTATAGCTGTAATAATGCTAATATTAAAGGTATGAAAATAAAAAATATATATCTAATATATAATAATTGTATTAGTTTAAAAAGATAATATAAATAAGAACAAATAAATAAAATTAATAATAAAAAGCCTTGTACTAAAATATAGTAAAACCTCTATAAGTGCATATAATTAATAAGAAAAAGTGCAATTATAGAGAGTATGCTTGAAGGTTTTACTTTGAATATAATTAAAATACTGATACTCTGTTGTTAATCAACAGAGTATTATAATATAGTTAAATTATATGATAAAATAAACAGATTAAACATTTTAAATTTTATATAAAAGCATTGACCCAAAGGTACCAAAAATAAATTTAATTAAAGAATATAAAATCTGCAAAATATATTATGACTAAGTTTAGCTAAGTAAATTGAACTGAAATAATAATATGCATTTTAAAAATTATCAAATAAAATTGCACTAAATATCATCATAACAGTAGAATAAGCAAGAAATAGAACTATTTATATACTAATTGTAATCAGTAGTATTTCTATATCAATTTATGTGATTTAACTAATTGATTTGTTATCAAGAATAGAAGTTGTAGTATGTGATATGTAACCCTAATTAGTTCTTTCAATCTGTTGACATATACATAGATTTGACCAATTTTGATTGGTCAATTTTTGATTATACCTAAAAATTAAAATTTTTTAATTTGAATTTAATAACTTAGCCAGTTATAAGAACTAAAAAATTTAGTTTGTATAGCCTTATTATTAAATATAAAAATTAATTTATTAAAAACTAAGAATGTGACAATTTAGTGAAATAAATAAATTGTCAATCTCCAAGTAGTAAGTTGTGAGTTCAAAGCTTACTAATAGTAAAAATTTAGATAATTATCTATGTAATATTTATGTATTATGACAATAGCTTTCTGTTAATCAGTTAGAATAAAATATCTGTAACTATAGTTATACTAGCATAACTAGCAGATCATAGGATATCTGTATAATCTTGATTATACAAAGAAATACAAACTAATACTAGATGATGCAAATCTAAAATAAGTTTCTGTGACTATGTAAATCTATAAAACTGAAAAAACTAAAGCCTATTTGGAAAGACCTGAATAGAAAGTTAATATGAATTTTTAATAGTACTACTGTAAAAACTAGATCTAGAAAACAGATACTAATTTGGAAGAGCCAAATAGACAAGAACCTTAAGTTAAGAAGTATTTTTTTTTTTTTTTTTGGTATTAAGGTGACCTCTTTGGCCTTTTGATTTTTATTAATCACTTGTCGGTATTGTGGTTCAATGAATCACTACAGGAGAGTGTACAATTGGCTACACGTGTAACTTTTCTATATTACCTATTTAAGGAGTCCG